TGACTGTAACTTTACAAACGCACCACATATGTTGTCTTTAATTTGTTCACACAGAGCTAACAGATGGACACAAATATAAGTAACATAAATTCAGGAAATAAAATGACATTTGTGTAATTTTATTACACAAATGTAAGGTAAATGTAAGGTAAACATGTCTGAATTATCTTATGGAATTGCTGGAATGTTAAAAATAAGAAATGAAGCTTTTGTGTGTCAAGTTAAGGTACTGTATTTCCAGTGTAAACACACCTGTGTTAACCTGTCGCAGCAGAAATAAGAAGGGCCGGTCCGCCTTAAAAACAGGAGCACGGGATCGTTTGAGTAGCACCATAGCTGCAATAATAAAAATAAATTTTTTAAACAAACCTGCACTATATCAGGTTTTATTTATTATTATGTTATATAAGATTTACCAGTTGCAGCAGCTGCTTTTGTCCCATCCTCTGTGACCTCTATGTTCACTTCATGAAAGGCATCCGACACATAAAGRCCCTCCTCCTCTGCAGGAAACACAAGCTGTCAGTCAAACTGGACTCAAAAACACATGTAGTGGTTTTAATAAAATGTCAACTGGTTCCATGAAGCTGAATTGTGTACAGGTAACATTTATTTGTTTACCTTTACTCCGTTCAGTTGAGTGGAACCAGCTGACAAACAGTAACTTTTTTAAGTTAAATCCCCTACATCCAGTGGTGGAGCCAGACATTTTTCTCAGGGGTGGCCAGACTGGGACCACTACTCACACAGGGGTGGCCAGACTGGGACCACTACTCACACAGGGGTGGCCAGACTGGGACCACTACTCACACAGGGGTGTCCAGACTGGGACCACTACTCACACAGGGGTGGCCAGGAAAATTACGATTTTTTTTCCTTGAAAGTTTCTGCAGATCTTTGTGTTTTTGTCATTTCCTTATGTCCTTATACAGGCAGTGACCTTATAAACATGGGCGTCAGAACCATTTTAAAAGGTGGGGACACTCTGTTGGGTTGTCTGGGGGGTCCTCCCCCAGAAAATTTTGAACAAAATAGATGCCTTTTCCTGCATTCTGATGTATTTTAACTGGTTATTAAACATAATTTTACCTACATAAATAAACACTTGATTTAATAATTATTTCAGAGACAAATTAATCATTAAACTAGTTTATAAACTCACTGCTACAGCTGAGATAAGGTTAATTAATGTAACACAATTTATCATATCTAATGACTTTATGGGTGCTTTTTACTTTTATATTGTTTATTGATTTATTTTTAATTGTAACACATCATTGTGCCAAATAATGATGACCCTCAGCTGCATGTTTAAAACTAACTTAAATAATTTTACCCAATGAACAGGTGCAATATTGATAACCACCAACAGTTTACTTATGATTTGGTGACAGGCCTACTCATAATTAACAGGGACAGAGCATCACGCAGCCTTCATAACATAAAATGACAAATAAATAAATAAATAAAACTTTTGTCACCAGAAGTCGAAAAGTTGACACCATGAGTCAGGCATAGGTTCTGTATATCCACTTCCAGGAAGATGGGGACCAGGGCACAAGCAACTTTCAAAGCTCTGATCGCTCGGTCCCAGATTTGTTTCTAAACTGTCCTCTAAAGACCAAAATACTTTTATAACTCTGTTTCGGACGTATTTTCTACTTACCGGATTATAAAAACAATGGGCCTCATGCAAGAACCGTTGGTACGCACAGATTTGTTCTTAAGTTGTGCGTACGAGTG